GTGGGTCGCAAATTGGAGCTTCTATGGCCGGCTGGATCTTCTCTGGTGTACTATATCCCTTTATTTCGGCCAATTTCTACTATTTTTCCAGCGATCTGCGGAGCCTGGTAGAGGCTACATGTAGGTCGCACAACAATTGTACTGGACCTTTTAGCATGTGTATATTTGCCATGGATGGAAAAGATTTTGTTTTCCTCCATCCAAGAAAAATGATGGAAACGTTAATGCAAATCTGGAAGTTTAATCGGATAAACTTGTCCATTGTTGTCCAAGAAATGAGATTGTCTGGAAGATGACTCAAAAATCTCCAGGACCTCTAGCCCACATCACTATAAGCTGAAGTCTGTGTGGGGAAAAACAGGCCTTATCTTTTCAGACACGCTTCAGACAACAATTGATCGAGCCAGAGGTGGCTGTTGTGATTTTCTGAATATTGTGATTAATGGTGTGTTTAATGTGAAGTGATTTTCTAATCCATCAATCCTGATAAAATAGACAATGGGGATAGCTGCCAAGATCAAAGATATGGGATTGCTTTGCTGATCTCAGGGCTCGAAATTAACATTGTCCCAGTGTCAAATGACACTAAATTTTCAGCTTGGGACAATTCAAATTATGTTTCGGGACAATTTCGGGGCAATTTGAACATTCTGAGACCTTTCATGTCATTTGGGAACGTGATCCATCCATCCTGCTGCTGGCTGCCGGGAGCCCATAATACTCTAACAAACATTTAAATTTGACCATCAAGGATTCCAAATACCGGGGAGGGGGGCCTGAAAGATGGTGCCGTGCCCATGATATTATCATGTATTTCCCTACATTTACTTATAAAGTGGACTTCAAGTTGTACAAATTCAGTTGTTGTTTTCTTATTGTTGTCATTAACTTATTTCCTGAAAAGCAGGCTGGGACAGTCCATCTTCAGTTCGGGACAATTGAAATCTATATTCGGGACAATTCTGGGACAGTAGTAAAAAAAGTTAATTTCGAGGCCTGGATCTACTCACTGTATAGGACCACAATGCATAATGAATATGGAAGTAATGCAACATGTACATGTATTATTTATTATAATACCAGGCGTATTTTTATGACGTAAGAACACGCCTGTTTGCGTCTGCATATGTGCCTTGGCAAGTAGGGTTATGACTTATGTATTGACAGGTGTTTTTGGGTTGGTTGTTTTTTGTGGACAAAATAAAACAAAAACGTGTTAAAATCGATGGATTGTTTTTTTTCAATGGGGGATGTTTTTAACCATCATGAATATAATTTATGAGCACAGAATTAATAAGATAGTGTTTTATGCCAAGGGCAGGAGATCATGAAATACTTTGGAAGAAAGACAGTCAATCTACCAAAAATTTCAGTCCATGCATGGCTTCTTGAGTTGTGTCAAGCACAAATAAACAAGCAAACAAAACAAAGGAAAGGGGACTGAAAAACCACCTGCGTACAGGTGACAACAGTACACCAGGTTGTTGCCTGGAGGCAGGTTTTACCTGCAGGTGAGACAATAGTTGTCACTTTACATCTGATGGTGTCCCTGAAATACTTCCCTTACCTGTACAAATAGCCCCCTATTCAGGTGGACAAGTGGTAAATGAGGGTGCCCTTTGGCCTCACAAGGGCTCTCTTGTTTTGGTGTATACCCGGACTTGTATGTTTTTTGTAGAAACAGTAGAAGTACTATACGCTTTACGTAATTTTTGTAACTAGCCCTCATAAATTGTGAAGATTAGATCTATATGTTTTGTTACACCTGTCATATAAGGACAAGAAGTAACTATCTATAATTATAACATCAGGAATTGTAGTTAACAGTACAGTGTAGTTCCAAACGCTTATTATTACATACAACATAGACCCAGCTGAGTGGTCAAAATATACTAATATTTTTGTCAGAAATTCCAGTTGATTTATTTAGGTTGTAGAAACCGTAGATAAACATTAAAACAATTTAGGAAGTTCATGAAACATACTGGTATGACAATGCATGTTTATTGTAATTTTGTTTTGTTTTTTTGCAACATTACACCTATGTGAGAGTGGTTGTAGGGTCACGGGCAAACAAGTCACTCTCAACAAGATTTTGTAAGCGGTTTTGAACTCGGTTGAGGTTGATGCTCTTTATAAGCCTTTTGTAAAAATTGAAATAGCCTATTCAAGTTCGAGGAGCCAGGTACACATGTAGCATGGTATTTGACCATGAATGGCACTTAATATATTTACCAAAAGGACCAGGCATCTGCTACCTTTACAAACAACTCCACCAGGACATGCCATATGTTTTCATTCTGGTCCATCTGAATTCCTAGGTGGTGGGGTCCTGCCCTGCCCTGGTCAGTGGATCGAAGTCTTGTCATTCCAGGCAGATTTTGTCAAAAGACAGCCACATTGCAGTAATGTAATGCATTCTTAGGACTAAAGACAGGGCAGTGGGGATATCCCGAACTGTTGCTGTAATATTGGTAGCTCAAATCATGGCTGTATTGGCCCTTGACTTTGAGCATTAAATGTAAACTGTAATGTGTTGCCCGGAGGGGTTAGACATTGCCATGGTTATCTGTGCTGTGGTATTCTTGCTGTAACATGGCACCATGTCAGGATTAGTTGTTTGCCACCTCAGGGAAGCATTGCCTAGAGCTATAAAGTAGTTGTTTGGTTTTGTAGCTTCTTCTTGTTACCAAACAATAACTGGAATCAGATCAAAATTGCGTGGGAAAATGGCAGTATATAAAGAACTTCAATTATACTTTATGCTTATTTATGTAAACTTATCATTATCTACAAATGTTTCAAGTAAAAACCCAGGCCCTCTACAAAGTTTCAGAATATTCTGATCATACAACCTACATTTTAAATGTGCTATAAATACCATTAGTAAAACAATTAAACCTTTGTAATCATGTACATCTCTACAGTTGATTGTGTACATACAAGTGACAGAGCTGTAGATATTGTGGGATGAACTTTAGACCCATTACATGAACTTCAAATACGCTTGTATGCAAATGACTGCACAGCGGAATACCACATACATGATGTCATTGTTTTTCACAATGTAACTTCAAATTGGTTGAGATATGGTATTGATCAGTTAAAGACATATACTCTATTACTGATATAGATATTTCCACCTAGACCTGTGTAGAGTAATTGCCAGCTTCTGTTTAGAAACATTTTGTAAATCTAAGTACAGTACAGTAGAGCCATTGTTGAATGTGAAGCAACATCAGTCAAAATCAAATCAGCATAAAGTTATATTCTTCTTCAGAATTGGGGTTTGATGCTGATGGTGAGAAATGATGTTTGGTTGATGGGATGAGAGTTATCAGCATTTTGCACACTTATAAGTTATTGATTGTTTCAATCCAATCCGTACTAAAGTTGAATTTAAGGATAATGGATTGTAGCGTGGTTTCTAATCTTAGCATTGTGCGCAACCTCGGTTGATTATCTACTGTACTGTTTCAGCAATGTTTTTCCCATGTTACACGTAGGTCTGACTAATATGATAGCATTAGGGCAGTTGTTTCTTAGGTTTATTACAGAGAAGTTGTAGATATAGTAATAAAAAGGAAGAATAGAGAGTTGAGGTAATCAAACATCAGAAAAAGGGGCCCAACCTTTGAAAGAACTTCAAAAGAAGGGAAAGAATCCTAATTTAATTTATGGACCTTTGAAGCCCAAATCTCATCTGAGAAAATGTCCCTTTGCACCAGAAAGTAAATAGGGTTTCAAGTTCAAAGGTTCAAAAATAGAATCCCTATGTCATCCCCAGTTATAACACAATTTCTGTGATTTGGTTACGAATATTGTATGACATAGCCAGTAACTCAGCAAAATACATTTAGGAGGATGTATTGAGAATTCCGCAGACTCTAAACGAGAGATTGAAATAAAAATGCAATTGTAGAAAGAATTCCAGTGGAGGATTGTTGCTTTTATTAAATCACAACATACAAGATATCAAATCAGTGTGGTACTTTTGGATTTCAGGAATGATGTCTCGTTTTTTGTACATAATCACTCACTGAATTGTCACGTAATTTGAACATTATGTGCCTACTATTCTTATTTTTCATTACTGACAATTAAGTTTTGTTCTAAATCTAATGACAGCCTACCTTAATTTTCTTATCAATGAGACGATATTTAACATTTTCTTATTTTCCTTGTGTGCAGGAATAAAGCCATAGCAGACTACCTGCGATCAAATGGCTACGAGACTGCTTTAGAAGCCTTCCAGAAAGAAGCTGAAATGGTGAGTTTACAATTGTTTCAATTTTATTTGTTGGTTCTCAGATTTTTTTTAGGAAATCAATAATGTAGGCAGGCCAGGTGTAACATGAAACTAATGACAGATACAACTTCTGATTGTAATTATAACTAGAATTCCGAGATCTCATACCTCCATGAAATATGATCTTGATATGTAAATGTAAATTTCTTCTTTAATTGTGCAAATGACCTCTGCATTAACATGATATATGCATCGTGATGTATGTTAACTTTTGATTAACTTACAGATGTCCCAAGTATGAAATTCTCATCATTCACCATTACGAAATCATAGAATTTTCGCATTAATTATGCAAATTAGGTCATCATTTGCATAATTAGTATCTGTTGAAGTTCCACCTGCCATAGGTTACATACATTACATGTATGTAAGTAGTATAATGTAAAACACTGTAATTATAGAATTTCCTCATTAATTATGCAAATTAAGTCCTCATTTGCATAATTTGCATTTAATTATGTACATCTCTCTCTCAGCTACCTACACACCAAAAATAATGAAAATATGTTGTTCCTGTCTGGACTTATTGGCTTTTAAACATTTCGCCAGAAAGTGCCCTGCAGTTCCAGAACAAGCCGCTAGGGGGCCCAAACTCATATGACTTCTTCCCAAGCACGAGAGCTACCTTCCATCAAAATTTCATGACCCTAGCATGTCCAGATCGCGAGATATCAAAACCGGAAGTTGCGCTGCAGTACCAAGGGAAGCCACTAGGGGTACCAAAATCTAATCATTTCTAGTTTTTGTCACACCCTACCAACACACCAAGTATGAAACCAATCCATCCAGGCGTTCTTGAGTTATTTTGTTGACCAACAGACGGACGGACAGACGGACGGACGGACAGATAAACGCAACTGAAAATATAACCTCCATGACACATTTCATGGAGGTAACAAAGGGACAATCACAGATTTACAAAGATGAATTATCAAACGCCTGACCCAGATTTCCCGGTGATTGTGTATTAGACGGCTCATTTACAGAATAAATCAATATACTAGGCTTCTCTTGTTTTCTTTTGTGAAGCCACTGTTTTTTTCAAAATGATCAATAAGTGGTCCAGGGTATCTGGGACTATTACATGTAGGTGAGGTCAAAGCCTGTGAAGCATTGTGGTCTTCTCTGTGCATTTTGTCCCTTTTGCCTGCTTTTCAATTTGTTTATCAGGAAATTTTGATGAAGTAATTCTGTATTCTGCACTCATAAATTTCTCCGCTAAATGTACCTGAGCACTAAGGTGTTGTCCTTAAATATGAATTTGGAGACTTGATACTGTATGAACGAGCTAGCAGCAGTTTGGGCAAAAATCATTATTAATTCATGGCCCTGCTCACTAGCTCCTGCGAAACCTTACTGCCCGCACGTCATTCCCAGTCCCTAGAGTGACGTGATGTGTTTCCACATGGCCAATGTCACGACTTGGGAGTGCTAGGAGGATAAACATTCATGTATCAGAACCCTGATGGGCCATGACAGCCTGTGCTCTCGACATAATACCCTGCACTTACCAATAACCTGCTTTTATGGCTTTCATGTCATACAAATTTGCACAATAAAGGGCAGAACAATTATGCAGTGCAAAAATCATCTGCATTTCCATTAATTGTGTAGTTTTAATATTGCATGCGTTTATTTTGTTTATCGCTCATCCTCAATATTTTGTGTATCGTATACACAAAATTACAATTACACAGGAACTCCATAATGTACGTTAATAGTGGAATATTGGTATACAAATTGTTATGAAGTGATCATCATACAAAAAATCATATATCCATTATCGTATTAAGTTAACAGCATCTAGAGAATAAAACTAGCTTTCATAAATATAAGCTAAGTTTCCATATTTTTTTCCTTCAGCCTGGTGAGATTGAGAAGAAATATACTGGTCTACTGGAAAAGAAATGGACCTCAGTCATCAGGCTACAGAAGAAGGTATGCTGTCATCCTTGCTCTCATCAGTATGGGTTTCTTGAGAAAGATAAACTGGTGCTTAGGGAGTGACAGAGCATGGAGGAAGACATGGAGAATGTGTATCAGGAACATCATGTATTCAAGACAGTCTCTGTGTTTCCTTTGGGTCTGCTGAACTGCAAATGTGATGTTTTTATAGCTATCAATCCCTGAGTGGCACTCCTGCAATGAGACTGATAAGTATGCATGGATCTGAATATTTATACTACACAATAAATAGGAAACAGTGTAATTATAACAGAAAACATGCTACAATAATTTTGTGTGAGAATAAATCTTGATTCTTGTCTGAATGTTTGTTATGTTAAGAATCTGCCTGCTGTATGTATTGTTGAAATTGCCTATTATTCAATTCTGTTGAAATTTTGAAATCCTTAACATCCCCTTCCATGTGGTGCAGACTGTCCATACCATTCCATAGCAAGCACTATAGCAAGGGTGTAATCCACTGGTAGATAGAGTTTAACACGAAGCACTATAATGATTGTACATCTTTTGCAAACACTGTGCCTATATCCTCCTCCCCATGTACAGGTTATGGACCTTGAAGCGAAGCTGGCAGAAGCAGAGAAAGAATTTCAGTCGGGAGGTCCGAACAAGAAGGAGCGTTCTCCGTCAGAATGGATCCCCAGACCGCCGGCGCGGTACAGCCTCAGTGGACATCGCAGTCCCATCACCAGAGTCCTCTTCCATCCAGTCTACAGTGTTATGGTCTCAGCCTCAGAAGATGCCACCATTAAGGTTTATTTCTTTCTTTATCATTACTTTATTAATTTTGGTAACATACAGACATACAAATTACATACAACACAGGGTTAACACACTCAGTGACTGTACACTGCTTTCCAGTGATGCTTTGTACATGCAGATTTATACTCACTCACTGTCTGGTTTAATGTCTGTTGGTCCCTGTCTTCTAAGGATTAGTGGATGTAGTATTATTGCTAACGTTGTATTTCTTTTCCTTCTGCAGATTTGGGATTATGAAACGGGCGACTTTGAGCGCACGTTGAAGGGGCACACGGACGCCGTACAAGACGTGTCGTTTGACCAGCAGGGAAAGCTGCTAGCCTCCTGTTCAGCAGACATGACCATCAAGTTATGGGACTTCCAGACCTTCGAAAACATTAAAACCATGCATGGTGGGTATAGCATTCGTTTGTATGTACAGTACAGATCTCAAATAACTTCCCATCTACACTTGTGCAAATTGCAATCAAAAGCCGTGCATGTAGTCTTAAGATACTTGTATGCTGGTTGATATGAAGTGAATTAAACGGTAGTCATCTAAAAATGACAACAGTGATTAGAATATTTTGGAGTTTTTCAGTGTTTTCATCTCACTATGTTGTGTTCATCATATTCTTATTGTTACTGTTCTGTATAAATAAAGGGTCTCAGATTTCCAGAAGTCCAACCCAAATGAATGGAATGAAATATATTATCCGTTCTTCCATTGTCCAGGACATGACCACAATGTGTCATCAGTCCACTTCATGCCCAACGGAGACTTCCTTGTCTCGGCCTCCAGAGATAAAACCATCAAGATGTGGGAACTCGCTACAGGGTCAGTCTTCATACTTTATTCTGTTGTCAGGAGCAAAGTTGAACTGGAATGGGCAAGTTATAAATTCAACTTGTGATCCACTGCTCACTGAGTCACATGTTTTATCTGCATAAGGTGACGTGACATTGTATTAGCAGTGGATTGCTCATTCTACAACAAAAACAGTAGTTGGGCAGTCCAGTTTTTGTATTCATCGGAAATTACAGTTCAACTTTGCTTCAGTTATGGAGTGCATAAAACACTTCTATCCCACTTCGTTTTGGCACTTGCAATGTTGCAAGTAGTCAGAAATTTTGCTTGCAATTTTTCTGCAAATACAGCAGGCATTTTCATCTGTCGTACTACAAAACATCATTAGTAAGCCTGAACTTTGTAATGTTGTATTTTAAGGATCCGTATGAATTGTATACTTGCACACAAAAACTCGTTAAGCCCTCCACCAACAATTGGACTGCTTAAGTCAGACGTGCAGACAGAAAATGGAGCTTGTCGCCTTCCCAGACTGGTCCTGTGTCTGTGGAAGTGAATCAAAGCTTTGACATATCAAGTTTTCTTCCTGTTAAGTCTTGTGGAATAATCAGCAGGATTTTAGAAACCCTGGGGCTATCTTAAAGAGGGATAACATCTAACCTGTGATTTGTATGTACTGAAAGATGATAATCTTCAGCATGCTGAGAAGCATTATTAGAGATAAAATCTTGGATCCAAAAGATTAAGATTTTCACTTAGTTTCAGTAGTCCAGATTTTCAATACCAGCAGTCTTCTTCAGTATGAATGACCCATCATATCATAGAGGTGAAGTTGCTAAACAACGACAGTGGTCCACCGGAATCTCTCCCCCCACCTGCTGATCGAGACCTCCCCATCAGCACTGACCCACCTACACTGGAGGAGACAGTAAAGGCCATTCAGGACCTGAAGAACAATAAAGCACCGGGCCTGGACTGTGCAATAACTGCGGAAGCCCTTCAGGGTGGTGGACATGTAATGGCCAAATCCATCCACGCATTCTGCACAGAGGTCTTCACCACACTAACTCCCCCAGAGCAGTGGATCACAAATGTCATTATACCCTTACCAAAGAAAGGGGACCTGACCCTGATGACCAACTACAGAGGCATCAGCCTAATGTCCGTAGCGGCAAAGGTGTACAACAAGATACTCTTAATGAGAATCAGAGAACATGTTGACCCTATACTACGGAAGAACCAGGCCGGCTTCCGCCCAACAGATTCATATCCTTCGTAGGATTATGGAGGGTTTCCTGTCCTACCAACTCCCACTTACTGTTACATTTATTGACTTTAAAAAGGCGTTCGATTGCATCAACAGAAGAGTCATGTTCTCCGTCCTTCGTCATTATGGCATACCCGAGGTTATAGTTAACGCCATCCAAGTACTTTACTATAACTCCAAGAGTGCAGTTTTTGTTGATGGTAACATCTCCGACCCATTCCAGGTTACTACCGGGGTCCTACAAGGAGATGTGCTTGCCCCGTTTTTGTTTATAGTGCTCATAGACTACCTGATGTCAGAATCAACCAAAAACACAGACTCAGGCGTAGTTACGCACCCTCGGCAATCCAGAAGACATCCTGCTCAAACCCTTAATGATTTGGACTTTGCCGACGACATTGCACTTCTTGAGTCAACCATACCCAGGGCGCAGGAACAGCTTACTAAAACAGCAGTTGCGGGGAAACAACTTGGGCTCATCATCAGTGTACCCAAGACAGAGTACATGACGTACAACTGCAACCCACAACTGCCGCTAGAGGTATATGGACAGCCAATAAGACATGTTGCCAACTTTAAATATCTGGGGTCCATGATGGCCTCTAGCAGTCATGACATGGCCAAGAGGAAATCACTTGCATGGACAGCTTTTTGGAAGCTGGAGAAGATCTGGAGAAGTCCATCAATCTCCACATCCACTAAACTTAAGCTTTTTAACACCACCTGCGTGACAATATTGCTATATGGCTGTGAATCCTGGGTCATAACGGGGGACATGGAGAAAAAGTTAAACGCGTTCGCCACATCATGCTATAGGGTCATGCTTAACATCAAGCGCCTAGACCATGTGAGCAACGCCTGGATCTACAAGCTGACCAACACTCGACCCCTTATCACCATGGTAAGGCAACGTCAGCTGCGATTCCTGGGACATGCACTTAGAATGCCTGTGGGGGAACCATGCCGGACATATGCCCTGTATGTACCAACGCACGGCAAAAGGCGCCCAGGGCGCCAGCGACTGGACTACCTGGGCTACATCCGGAGTCTGTTGGGGGACACCGAGGGTGACCTGCGGCCAGAGGACATTGCCAACCTGGCGGCAGATCGACAGTCGTGGGCAAGACTTGTGGTCGACTGCTCCGCAGCCGGACGATGATGATGATGATGATGAACTTACAACATGTACCCAAATGTCGAAAAATTTTGTTTAATCAGAATTTCAAAATCCAATCATACTTCTTATCAGTTTTCATGCTTGATTCTGAGGAAATATAAATGTTGAAGGTATGTATCCGCCATTGATCTGCTAATGTTGCTTGTCTCTGGTCCACAGCTACTGTGTGAAGACGTTCACTGGCCACCGTGAGTGGGTCAGAACAGTCAGAGTAAACCAGGATGGATCTCTACTTGCAAGCTGCTCTAATGATCAGGTAGGCAACTCCAAATGGCCTGGTGAGCCTTGTCCAGAGATGGTATTTATATAACAAGTTTGACTCATGCTTATCGAAAAGAGTAGGGGTCCTTCCTAGTATGTGTGTGGTTCAAAACCTTACAGTACCAAGTAGTTAAGCAGATTCATCTACAATTAAATGTTGGCTAAAATGCGAAGAAGACGTATTCTTACATACTACAATATTATCTTGCCTTCCACAGACCGTCCGTGTGTGGGTCGTGGCGAACAAGGAGTGTAAAGCGGAGCTGCGCGAACACGAGCACGTGGTGGAGTGTATAGCCTGGGCCCCGGAGTCGTGCTCCACTCACGTGAACGAAGCCATGGGTGCTGAGAAGAAGGGGCGGTCCGGCCCCTTCCTGCTCTCAGGATCCCGCGACAAGACCATCAAGATGTGGGACATCAGCACAGGGGTGTGCATCATGACACTGGTCAGTTCACCATGCTTTTCTTTGGCTGTTACTGGGTTTATGATAAATATGATGTCCTGTTTTACTTGTTGGATGGATTTCTAGCAGCAGTGTCCAACATGACCCTGGTTAGAAGTCCATGCTTTTCTTTTTCTAACCTTTCTGGACTTCTTTTCTAACCTTTCTTGCTCTGGTTTGTAGTGTGAATGCTTGAAAAGGTTATTTTTGAACCACACTTGTACTTGTAGGTTGGACACGACAACTGGGTTCGAGGCGTGGTGTGGCACCCGGGTGGAAAGTACATCATCAGTGCCTCGGACGACAAGACCATCCGTGTCTGGGACTACAAGAACAAGCGC